GACCGTAAAACCGATACAATGTCCACATTAGTGTATGATGACCAATGAGTAACAGGAAACGACTCACCAACTGGAATATAGAGCTTCCAAGGCTACAAATACATGACACGAATAAAAAACAAACAAATACAAACTAAATCCAAATTTTAAAAGAAGAGTTAAAAAATAGAAAAAAGTATAACTGAAATTGTATATACCTTACAAATTTTGTCAGGAATTTCAACTTTTTCTGCCTTTTGAACCTTGTTTTTTTTTTGGCTTGACACCCAAATTCACTTCGTCCTCCACGACACGTTTTCTCTTACCTCGATCAGCATCCATTATAACCCTCTTGCTCTTCTTTTTCTCAGATCTTCCAACAATATCCTTTCGAGATTCTAACACATTAACACTGTCGGAACGATTTTGTCTTCGCATATATTGTTCATCAATCGATTTGTCAACTAAAACCGGAGTTGAATGAGGAGATAAACTCATCGACCTAGTTTCTCTTCTCTTGTTGCTCGATTTCTCAATTGAAACCGACTTTGAATAAGGTGATGAACTCATCGAACGAGTTTGTCTTCTCATATTGCTCTGTTTCAAAATTGAAACTAGGTTCAATGACAAAATTTAAAAAAAAAATATACGAACAAAAGGTTACAGAAATTTGTGAAGAAATTAATACAAAAACTCGACAAAAACTTACAAAATCAGTCGCAAAAACCTAAAGAAAAGCAACATCCATTCTACAAAAACACATGCAATCAGAAAAATATACAAAATAAGAGGTTTTCTACTCGAAATTACCTGGAATCTATACTCTAGTCATCTTTTATTCTTTTAATTCATCACCCTTTAAATAGTAAAAATATCTAAAGAGTTTTGCTAAGTCCAATAAAAGAACGTATATTATTGCATTCTACTTCTATTGGTGAATTTTACATGATATTTAAAAAAATACCGAAAATTAACCGAACCGTACCGATACCGAAGAGAAACGGACATGATTGGTACGATTTTGAAAAGTCTAATTTTGGTTATACATAATAAAATAACCAAAAAATTTGTATGGTACAAATTTTGTAAAATAACCGGTCGAACCGAACCTCTGACACCCCTACAAGGGACTTAATCTGAGCGGGAATGAATATTTATCAGGAATTAACACTTTTTGTCCTTCCGTTATTAGCACTATTTTTTCCCGACATTATTAGCATATTATAATTATGATCTTTGTGATATATGATTAAGCACATTATTAAAGTGTGTTTTTGGTCCCTTTATATATAGGAATATATCATATTTAGGTTATATTAAAACGCTAAAACATTTAAATATGAAACAACAATAAGATTTAACAGTCGGCACATGATGTAATACTATATAACTTGTGAAGATTCACACGAAATATATATTTTATTAATTAAATGTTAGATATGCTTAGCTACAAGGGGTTTAATTTATTTTTAATTTTTTTTATTTTTTCCGTCACTACAAGGGGCTAGGGGTGTCAATGGATATTTGAAAACCGACTAAAACGACCGAACCGTACCGCACCATACCGATTTTTAGGTTTCTTTTTAAGAAACCGTAGGTTTTTATATAAATCTATAACCGCACCGATAATTAGGGTAGATTTTTTATTTTATAAAAATAAACCGAAAAAATACCGAACCGTGCCGAATAAATTTTACATGTGAAAAATATATTTATCTAGTAGTTTAAAAATAATAATGAATTAAATTTTTCTTTGGGCCTTGAAATTATGAAAACTATTACAAGCCAACATGTAATTAAACTCAAAATACTAATTCCTAAAATCTATTATGCTACTTCTACTTAAACTAAGTTATTTCAAGTATCTTTATTAGCAAGACACAAAGTATTATAGCGATTACGAGTAGCAAACTACAATGTATTGAATATGTTTCCTTTCATATAATTTAGATTTATCTTTTTGAATATTTAATCTTCTATAAACTTTACTCTTGAGTCCTAGCTTGGTTAATATCTTTCTACTTGTGTGATTTGTATTTTTTTTTTTTTTTGCCTTTGATTGATTTCTTTTACGCTGTTGTAGAATAGTTGATAGATCTATACTCTAGTCATCTTTTATCTTTTTAATTCATCACCCTTTAAATAGTAAAAATATCTAAAGAGTTTGCTAAGTCCAATAAAAGAATGTATGTTATTGCATTCTACTTCTATTGGTGAATTTTACATGTTAAAAAATACCGAAAATTAACCGAACCGTACCGATACCGAAGAGAAACCGACATGATTGGAACGATTTTGAAAAGTCTAATTTTGGTTATACATAATAAAATAACCAAAAAATTGGTATGGTACAAATTTTATAAAATAACCGGCCGTACCGAACCATTGACACCCCTACAAAGGACTTAATTTGAGCGGGAATGAATATTTATAAGGAATTAACACTTTTTGTCCTTCCGTTATTAGCACTATTTTTTCCCGACATTATTAGCATATTATAATTATGATTTTTGTGATATATGATTAAGCACATTATTAAAGTGTGTTTTTGGTCCCTTTATATATAGGAATATATCATATTTAGCTTATATTAAAACTCTAAAACATTTAAATATGAAACAACAATAAAATTTAACAGTCGGCACATGATGTAATACTATATAACTTTGTGAAGATTCACACGAAATGTATATTTTATTAATTAAATGTTAGATATGCTTAGCTAAATATTACCAGAATCAAAGAAAGTTTGTCCATTTTTGATGGACAAAAAGCACCAAATAGTTTCTTTTTTGGAAGAAAAAAATAATGTATTCCATGAAGAATAGCCCCATGTCCCAATTTATTTGATACTCTCTCCTTTTTAATCATAGTACCAAAATAATAATATATTTTTTTATTTTTAATAATAATTTAATTTTAAAATATTAATTTTATCCTTAATAAAATAATTTACCGTTTGTTTTAGACTGAAAATTTCAAATTTTTTTCCAATCAAACATAGTAATACCTTTTTTTCACTCCTTTTTCTCTTTTATTTATTTGTTAAGTACTTCCTTCGGTCCACAATAAGTGACCAATTTGCTTTGAACACATCTATTAAGGAGATACTAAATTCTAAATAAAAATAATTAGTGTGACTAAACTACCATTAATTAAATACTGCATTACAGTTATTGTAGCACTTACTTCTCTTCTCAAATGTGAGAAATAAATGACTTTCTAGGAATACGTACATAAAATTAATTTTGGAAAAAATAAATAAATTTTTTATATCTTATTTTGGACCAAAATAACAACAACAACAACAATGAACCAGTAAAGTCCCACATAGTGGGGTCTGGGGATGGTAGTGTGTACGCAGACCTTACCCCTACCCCAATAGGGCAGAGAGGCTGCTTCCGATAGACCCTCGGCTCAGGAAGATGGAAATAAAACAAAGAAAGAAAAGACAATTCATTAGTATTGTCAACATAACCATAGAAATAATGACAGCATCCTAAAAACCATAAAATAGATGACATGTAATAACAATAACCCGCAACTAAGATCCAGAGCTATGGGAAACAGTAAGGTTAGTGTGAACTCTACATTAACCACAAGCCGTCTAGGACCAACCTACTCAAACTCGTTTCACCCCCGGAATGGAGAAGGAGAAGCTCGACTACCATCTATCCTACAACCCTAATGCTCGACCTCTAGACCTTCCTATCAAGGGCCATGTCCTCGGAAATCTGCAATCGTGCCATGTCCTGTGTGGTCACCTCTCCCCAATACTTCTTAGGCCGACCTCTACCTCTTCTCGTATCCACTAAAGCCAACAGCTCACACCCCTCACCGGAGCATCCAGGCTTCTCCTCCGCACATGCCCGAACCATCTGAGCCTCGTTTCCCGCATCTTGTCATCCACAGAGGCCACACCCACCTTCTCCCAAATATCTTCATTCCTAATCTTATCTATCCTAGTGTGCCCGCACATCCACCTCAACATCCTCATCTCAGCTACCTTCATCTTCTGGATATGAGAGTTCTTAACCGGCCAACACTCTACCCCATACAACATGGCCGGTCTAACCACCGCCCTATAAAATTTACCTTTGAGTATAGATGGCACTTTCTTGTCACATAAGACTCCAGATGCTAGCCTCTATTTCGTCCACCCCACTCAATGCAGTGAGTGACGTCCTCGTCGATCTCTCCATCCCCTTGAATAACCGACCCAAGGTACTTGAAACTACCTCTCTTGGGGATGACCTGTGATCCAAGCCTCACATCCATGCCTACTTCCCTCGACTCGGCGCTGAACTTGCACTCCAGGTACTCCGTCTTGGTACTGCTCAATCTGAAACCCTTAGACTCGAGAGCCTGTCTCCAAACCTCTAACCTCTCGTTAACACTGTCCCGCATCTCATCAATCAGGACTATATCATCGGCGAATAACATACACCATGGCACTTCCCCTTGAATATGGTGTGTTAGTGCATCCATTACTAAGCAAATAAGAACGGGCTAAGCGCAGATCCTTGGTGTAACCCCATAACAACCGGGAAATGCTCCGAGTCGCCTTCCACAGTCCTTATTCTAGTCTTAGCCCCATCATACATGTCCTTGATCGCTCTGACATAAGCTACCGGCACACCTTTTACCTCCAGATATCTCCATACCACCTCCCTGGGACCTTGTCATACGCTTTCTGCAAGTCAATAAACACCATGTGCAGATCTTTCTTCCGATTCCTGTACTGCTCCACCAACATCTTAATAAGGTGGATAGCTTACGTGGTCGAGCGACCGGCATGAACCCGAACTGGTTGTCAGATATAGATACTATCTTCCTCAGCCTCGCCTCCGCCACCCTCTCCCAAACTTTCATGGTATGACTTAGTAACTTGATACCTCTATAGTTGTTACAACACGAAATATCAACTTTGTTCTTGTACAACGGAACCAGTGTACTCCACCTCCAATCATTCGGCATCCTCTTCGTCCGAAAATAACATTAAACAACCCAGTCAGCCCCTCCAAGCCTAAAATAAATAAATTTATTTTCTCGGACGAGCCAAACAGAGACTTTCAGTTTGACTTCGCCGGCGAACACAATGGAGAGAGATCAAAACGAGAATTCAACTTCGCCGCAGGCGACGGTGATCGAAGAATGGAACGGAACTTCGTCAACTAAACTCACCAAAACAGCCACCATAACTGCCACGTCATCATCTTCCATCTCAATCAAAAGATCAAGTAACGCATTCACTCATATCTCTCAACGAATTCTCCAGGCTTTTGTTCCCGAGGCAAGTCCAACTATATCAAATAATATTAGCACAGTTTGTGAATTTTCTCAGAAAATTTATTTATGTACTTCGCACAAACATATTTGATATAATTAGTTTATTTGTGAAAACAGAAGTGTTTATTTGTCTATTTTGGGTACAGAAACAAACTTGTATGGGATAAATAAATAAATACGGCGCATTTTGACATGATTATGAACTTCAAAAGATTTGATTTTTATTATGTTTCTGAGGTAATGATGCATAAGGTTAGATAAAGAATTATGTAATATTTGGTTCGTGGAGTAAAAGCAAAACATTCAAAACATTTAATTTTTATTGATTTTCAAACGAAAAGATTCATAGAGTTTGCCTTATAATAAAAAAGAACTATAAGTAACTCTGTTGAATTGTTTGTTTAAAGGTGGAAGAATATTCAAGAGAAGCAAAAACAATTTTGGGAATATCTGTGTGAATTGTATTAAAAATTTGAAAAAGATTTGAACTTTTGGTGTTTTAAGGAAAAGAATACAAAGATGAACCAATTCTCATATATTTGGTGGAATGGAGGTAAAGAGGAAACTTCAAAAGATTTGAGTTTTATTATTTTTTTCTGAGAAAATGATGCATAAGGTTAGATAAAAAGATTAATATTTTGTGTTATTTGAGGAAAAGAATGATAAAGTTTGCTTACCTTATCAAAAATCATAATTTTTCCCGATAATTAACCCATTAATTAGTTCTGTTGAATTGTTTATGTAAAAGTGTAACAATATTCAATGGAGCAAAATCAGTTTTGGAATTTAGCTGAATGGTATTAAAAAAATTGAAAAATATTTGATCTTTTCTGGTGTTTTAAGACAGAGATTTACAAAGATGGAACAGTTCTGTAGGAATGGAGGCAAAGAAAGAACTTCAAAAGATTTGATTTTTATTATGTTTCTAAGGAAACAATGCATAAGGTTAAATAAACAGTTCTCTAATATTTGGTTGAGTGGAGTAAAAGGAAGAGCTTAAAAAGATTTAATCTTTCGACTTTTAAGGAAAAGATTCATAAGGTTTGTTCGTTTCTTTTTCTCTTTGGAGTAAGAAATGTTGAGGGCATTTCACCAGTATCAACAATTCTGTCTGATTTTTCTAATTGCTTTTCCAATTTATTTGTAGGGGTTTCCAAGTAGTGTTACTCCAGACTATGTTCCTTTTCAAGTGTGGGACTCATTGCAGGTTAAGAGATATTGCCCATAATTGATAAAACTTGTTTTCAGTTTCTGAATTGGTGTTGAGCACTGTCAGATCTCTTTGTTTTTCATGTTATTGTTACTGATTTGGATTGCTGCAGGGACTTTCTACCTATGTGCGGATGATGCTCTCTACACAAGTAAGAGGATATTAGTATTAATGTGAGTTACTTATGATATGAAAGGCTAATTTACCTGTTCAAACAAATATAGGCTCTTCTAAGTGCTATAGGTGTCGGTGAGAAATCCGCTACTGTTATTGGGGCAACGTTTCAGGTGAGTTCACATTTTTTTTTTTCCATTGTAATTTATGTTTTAAACTAGTGTGATGACAATGGTTTTAAAAAATTTCAGTGGTTCTTGCGAGATTTAACTGGTATGGTTGGAGGCGTCTTGTTCACATGTTACCAGGTTTCTTTCAACTTTCCTGGCTTAATTTTCTGGTATCGTATTGATCTTTCTGTGTCAAACAATGCATGCCTTGATTCTTTATGAAGACTGAAGCTACAGAAGCACCTCATTCCTCCGAAGATAAATGATTTCCCATCAGACTTACATTTATGCCAGTTTCTATTTCCACTTGAAACTCTATGCCAGAAAAATGCTCCTTTTCCATAAAGATAAAGAAAAGGAAATAATGATCTCTTTCCTAGAAGAAAGTTACCATGGCAGCATACATGGGGCGAAATAGAACATTCTTTGGGACAATGATATTTTTGACATGTCTCCTACTACCAGCCTCCTGTTAATGATTTTTGAATCATAAGTACTTGTTTGGAAAATGACTGTTGCTTTTGCTTTCTTTTTCAGGGTTCTAATTTAGACAGTAATGCCAAAATGTGGCGTTTAGTGGCAGATCTCATGAATGATCTTGGTATGCCCTTTCACCTGTATGTTGTGTGCATTTTTTTTATCGAAATTATATAAAAAAGAATTTCCTTTCTCAGTCTTTTGACTGGCCAGTGGCTGGAGTTTAAGATGTTCTTTGACTTGCTCTTTGACTTCCATTTGGTTTTCGTGACCGTAGAAAAAAAATAGTAAAGTAATGTTAGAAAAGATAGTTTGATAGAGAAGATCACATCAAAGTTTATTTGAACGGTTTAACGAATTTGAAAGTTAAAAGTTGTATAAAAATTCAATGGTCAAACATTTTGAGACATTCTGAAAAGGAAAGAGTATTATGTAAATTGAGACGGAGGAGGTATTGTTATTGTTTGTAATTTTAAATGATTTATTAGGTTTTAGAAATGCAACAAAATCTTACTATTCTGAAAAACATTTTCTAGAAGGTTAAATGACATTGATTTATTCTTTTATTGTCATTCCTGAAACGGATGCAATGACAATAAAATCATTTGTATTTCTTGCAGGAATGTTGATGGATCTTGTGTCTCCTTTGTTTCCGTCGGCCTTTGTGTTCATTGTCTGCTTGGGGAGTTTATCAAGGTCATTCAGTAAGTGAAATATCTGCTCTTAGTGGCAATGCCATTCTCTTATCTTCTAAATAAAGTGTAAACTTCTTGTCTGGTTGTGTCTAGTATTCAACTTGTTTGTCTAATCTCTTTTTTCTTTTTTAGGGTTGGGGCTGTTAGCGTGAATTGTCTGATATTTCAGATCCTTCACCTTGCCGAAAGTACTAATGTGCTTTGTAATTCAATGTAGAGATGCTTTCCTTTACTATGTTGATCTGTTATGTCTTGATTTATTACATAGGTGAATCTTTGTTGTAGATATTTAAGATGGAACACAATTTTAAAGGAAGATACTATTATATACAATCATTCTTACTGCAACTTTTTTAGTCTTTTGTTCCAAGAGACACAAAATAGATATAAAGCTTATTTTGTCCTGAAAAGTAGTCTCTCACAGCGTGTGGTCATCCAAAATTTTTGGAGAGATGCATCATCTCCTGTTTCACATCAATATCTTTGTTAAAGTGCCTAAAACATTCAAAATTCACAAGCATTTGTTCCAGAGACAATAATTCTTCTCATTCTAGTCGTATCTAAGATCAAGAACTTTGACATCTATAAATTTATTGAACTATTTCTTTCACCAAGCTAATGGAAATTAGCATCAGCACTGATCAGTTTCCTTTATCCTAGTCATCATGAACAAACTTTTCACCTCCACGTGTGTTTCCAATTACTGAAGATTATAAAATCGTTTTACTTGTCAGATAAGTAGATTGATCTAATTGACAAGAAGGAACAATCCTGCGCGCAAGAGTTTCTTCTGCAAACTCAGTCCAATCATCTTTATAGATTGGAGAGTCTTTACGACCGAAACGCACAAAAATTAGCATGATAATCTGCAGCAGCAGCACGTACTTTCCTCTCCTTCAAGACTTCTTCTATTTCTTTCCCTCCGTGTAGTTCACAAATTGCATGTGGACTCTCTTACCATCCCCTCTTGACTTCCAGCGTCCAAATAATGCTATAACAGAGCTGGGGTAATGCATCAGATGGAAAATAGATTAAGCATCAAAGTCTGCAGGTTAGTCACAACTTTGCGGTGAATGACAGATGGTCCATGTCCTTTCCCGATCTCTTACACATATATATGTTGGTCTTCAGTGTTGCAGCAGAAGATTGTAAAATCTTATGGACTAAAGCTTCTCAACTAATCTACCTGATAAATACTTTCAAAATGTATTTACTTATTTGCTCTAATGTTATAATTGTTCAGTTTCTTCTTCTTGGCTGCTTTAGTTGTTTGTCCTTCTGATTATAATATTATGAAATTTCAGTTGCAGTAGCTTTATGGTCTGTAATTAATTCAACCCATTTTAGATGTTGGGTAAATTTTGGGAAAGAGTTTTAAGCAGTCTGAAGCATATTCTTAACCTTGCTGGCTGACCTTGAAGCTTTTTCTTTTAATAGAAGATGATTTCTTCTTGTTAATGAGGCCAAACATACCACAGTGATCGGACTGATTTTCTAAATATCATCTTTATTTGTTTCGATTTAGCTGGTGTTGCTAGTGGAGCCACTAGAGCAGCTTTGACACAGCACTTTGCCCTTCAAAACAATGCAGCAGATATAGCTGCAAAGGTATTGTGATAGATATTACAGTGGCGAAAGAATTGCAAAAAATCCACTTAGTCAGACTTGGTATCCGTTTTCCCTGTTCTGATAGGAAGGAAGCCAAGAAACTCTTGCTACAATGTTTGGGATGGCTTTAGGAATGCTTCTTGCACACATCACAAGTGGCCACTCATTTGCCATTTGGATATCCTTTTTGTCTCTTACTATATTCCATATGTATGGTTAGTTATGCTTTGCTTTCAATTTCCTGTTTCCATGAGTTTTCAAGTACAATGCTGAAGCTTTCTTAATGCAAAATGTACTAACTTGATGTATCTGGCAGCGAACTATATGGCTGTCTGTAGTCTTTCACTGAATACCCTGAACTGTGAAAGATGCTCAATTGTTTTATCACAATTCTTCAAGACAGGCCAAGGTGAGTTGAACTACTAAATATTTTCATAGTTATAGAATGGATAACTGTATCCATCTCCTAGAATATCATCTGAGTAGGAATATTTATGACGCTGTGTTGCGATGCTACAATGGCCCAAATTTTCTGTTGCTTTTATCTTTTGCGATTGAACTATTAATTTAGAGTTCCTGTGCATGCTGAATGTTTCACATGAGTCGTTGACTAGACATGCAGAAAATATTATGTAAACCTTGAGCTTTATGTCCAATAATGTAAGGTTGCTAATCTGGAGGTTTCATGCCTTGGTTCCAGTTCTCTCTCCAAAGCAGGTCTCCTCCATGGAGCATGTTCTACCTTCACGGCTGACCTCGTGGACCTCAAAAAGCGGTGATTCTCTATACAAGCGAGTACATTTAGGTGTCAGAGTTTCTTCACTTGACAGCCTTGCTATGTGAGATTTTCACCTTTGTTATTACTAATTTGCATCCATATCTCTTGCACGTGGTATTAGCAGAGAAGAATATTTGGGTAGTTGAATAACGAATTGTCTTTTGATCAATAGGGTCAACCTGTTACAATCTGCTGGGTCAAATCACAAGAAAGGTTGATAGACATGTTAAACTTTTTTCAAGCTAGGCTATTTGACCTAAGAGTTTCACTTATGCATTCTCTCTTATCTTTTCAGCAATGTATTTACTTCAACAAGAAAGGGATATTATCAACATTATTACTCATAAGGATTCAACGGCAGCTGATATATTGCAATCTTTCATCCATGCTCTTGTCATGGCAAAACTAGGTGATCAAGGTGGATCCATGTCTTTGGAGAGCCAATCATGGATGGATAAACACTATGAAGTCTTTCTTCTGAAGGTATTGTCTACTTCACGAGCTCTTTTTCAGGGAGGAAACTCATGATATATTCACTGCTTTTGTAAGTTTTAAAATCAGTCAACTAATCAGTATCAAGTTTCTGCAAAAAGATTTTCTTTGATTTTTTTTGAAGAAAACACCACCTAAATATGTGGAAAATCCATTTAGTGTCAATGCAAAAAAGTTCATAAGCTAATATTCGTATCTGAAAGTGAAAGCTGTGGACTGGTCTAAGAGGACATGTGCAAACGCCACTAAGAAGTTACCCACATATAAGCCCATTTTCTCATGGCAAATTGTCCATTAATTCTACGAGCTGTGCGTTTTGTGTTTTAGATTGAACTAAACATCTTGTTTCTTTCATAATTCACTATCACAGCTTCAGTCATCGGGATGGAAGACTGAGCGGCTGCTATCATCATCAGTTGTTTGGAAAGCAAATTGGCTAGCAGAGTACTCAGATGGCAAACTTGACTAGAATGTTTTACCAACTTAAAGTAAAATAGTTTTGATGAGATGAAAATTCTGGAACTACAAAGTAATTTTAAGAAAGATGTGCTTTCAAGTTCCAATCTGTGGTGATTTCAAGTCATCATTTGGTATATCTTGGATCTTCAATGACAGTGAGAAGGTAAACCTAAAAAAGAGAGGAGACTTTATGGCAAGAGGAGTTATTTAGTTACATGTGAAGTATCAGAACCAGTCAGTTTAGCCTGGCTTACATACCGTGAATTCAAAGGATAGCAATTGATGCATAGTTTCCGAGATCTTGGAGAAACTCTTGTTTACTGGAATTTTAAAAGGTGCTGGCTATTCTTGAGATCAAAGTTGTATTGTAATTTATGGCATTATTTCATAAGCCTGAGTGGAGATTCCATTGAGGTGTGCCCCAACTAACGGGAGATTTTGGTTTTTAGAAGGAATATTTTATTTGCAATGAAATGTTGTCTATACATCTTAGCGTTATTGTTAATTGGCCTAACAATGTATGTATATAGGTCAATGCCATTTTCTTCCTACAGCGGCAAAATCACCTCCAAATAGGGTTTTCACTGCAAAATTTGAAAATTGAAAACCAAAGTAGGGCGTTCACTGTATAGCGACTCCTGGCAGGAGTGAGAGCCAACTCTTCTCCAAATTAGGCTTTAAATTTTGGAGCCAATCCTCCGGCAGAAGGGCGACCTGACTCCTCCAGGTATGATAAGTGCTGGTATTTCCTATTACCCTTTGTCCTTGTTAGAGATATTTCTTAGATTCCTTTTCTTTTTCTTTCCTTTTTTGGTATTTGATTTAATAATGGTATTTGGGATGTTATTTTGCATTTGTATTACACTTGCATGTTATTAATTTGTCAATTCTAGAGATAAGTTGATTCTTTCAGTTGAGTTCTCACCTTTTGATATCAGTAGTAGAAAATGTATTTTTTTTTTCTTTTGATTGTTTTTTATCGTCATTCATTCTCTCGAGTCCGAATGAAGTCTCTGTTTGTCCTTTCAGTTATTTTTTCTCATTTTTCTATTTTTCCCTGACAGGTTTTGTAAATCAAAATCCACTATTCTTTTTCTAGCTGTAATGTTTTTTCATATTCCTAACTGTTTGTTCTTTCCATATTCCTCATTGTTGCTTCATTTTTATATTCTCTTATTACACTGGATAATTAATGCATGATATTTCAAATGTTTATTCATATTCTCTAGTATGTTTTTGTGCACGATATATAGAGTTGAAGTGAATATTGAGCATTCTCTGACTTGCTTTTTGTAGTTTTAAAGAATGGAGTATTCTTTTCTTTCTGAGTTGGAAGGTAATAGGGATAGTTGGATTGTAAGGATTAGAATTTGTAGGATGTGGGATTCTATTAATGCAAAAACAAAACAAAGAGTTTAGACATGATTTTTATTGACGTCAAGGTACCTAAATACCCATTTCTTCTTCTTCTTTTACATTCTCTTGTAATTTTTAGTGGTTAGACACTTACGGATTCATTTTAGCAGAATGCTATATTAAGAAAAAGTTAGGCAAATAGGCAAATAGGTACATGTTGAGTGAAAGTTTGTTGGTTGTTATTAAGAACTTCAAGGTTATTCAAAGTGTTGGTGGATATAGACCAACTAGGAGTAATTTTAAAATTATTTTCTTGGTCACAACTTTGTGTGAGAGATAGATGAAGATATTGTTAGGATATCCACAAATTCCAATTTATTAATCTCAAGATGATTGATTCTAGGGTGAACGACAATACAGTTTTAATAGGTACATATTATTACATTAATGTTTTTATATGAAAAGTATATATCGTTGTAATTTTAATATGACTACTTTTTCCCTTAGTGTTGTAGATATAGTTGGATGTTTACGTGGAATTGGTAATATGAAAAAGGTTGGATTCAGGGGAAAAAGAGGGACATCTATGTTGTAACTAATGGAATTTATGAATGTTTGGCATTCTAAATTATGAATCCATCTTTTGGTAGAAGATAACTAACAGTACATAAAACGAGATTAGTGGTTACTAATCAGTTACAACTTAGATTTTCCACTTAGATACAACGCTGTTATATCACTAATTCCACATAAACAACCATCTATATATACAATAAAGAGAGAACAAAAATAATCATATTAAAAAATTTCATGATATTTACATATGCATAAAACTATTTCGCGACAAACATTAGGCGTAATGGCTTTCTGGCCACTTAAACTTGTACCGGTTTGTAAAGCTGATACATGAACTTATATTTTTTCCATTTGAACATTTCAACATAACAGAATGAATACTAATAAATATATTTGACCATTGACCAAGCCTATGTGATAGTGGCACAGCTGACATGGCTAAATTGTGTGCAAATCACGCTGCCAATCCTACTTTCCCTCCCTCCCCGTTTCTTTTTCCTTTTCTCTTCCCCATTCACTAAATGGCTCCTGCACAAGGACGGCAAGCGCAAATTTAAAAATAGTCCAAATTGTTATGCGTTGATTTACTGAAAAAAGAAATGGAAATTGAAATTTTTAGATAATCTTATGTCGTTTTCTTGAATTTCGGAAGCATCAGCTTGTCTCAAACTTCCAACAACTGCCTAGGTCAATACAAGATATCGAGGGCGAGGTCCGGGTTGGATTGAGCTCTCAAGGCTTCATTTACGTCAGCTGGTGTGAACCCGGGTCCAAGATTGTTGGTCCATGATTCGAACTGTTTTCCTAATGGAGTTTGGGTTCGGGTTCGAGGGGTAGGGTTTGTGAGTTCATCGGAGTAAGATGACGGTTGAGATGTTAGGGTTTCTGCAAGGTGATCGACGGCGGAGGAGCTGGAGATAGGGCGGAGAGATGGGGAGGAGAAAAGAGAGGTGATTATTGACCGGCGTAAAGACACCCGCATTTTCAGTACCGGAGAGAAGCGACAAGGATGGCTGTGTATGGTGGAGAAAAAAGAGAAAGAAAAAGAAGTTAAATTTTTTAAAGATTAATCTTTTTTTAATAATATAAGACCCACAAATCCACATTGTCATATAATAAAGACAATATTTGACATCCCATTCGTGTTAGAGCTATTGGCGAACACGTTCAACAAAAAGTGTTTATTAGTATTCATTCCGTCAAGTTGAAGTGTTCAAATGGGAAAAATATAAGTTCATGTATCGGCTTTACAAACCGGTACAAGTTTAAGTGGCCACGAAGCCATTACGCCCGAACATTAATAGTAATAAAAATATAAAATACTTGATAAGTTTGTGTCATCATTCACCATTGAGTCAATCATTTCTGGTTTATTAAATTGAAATCAATTTATCCGAATTTTAACCATGTCTTCATTCTCAGTTAGTCTCTTAAACGAAGTTGAGACCAAAAAGTTTAATTTTAAGTATACTCTTAATTGGTCTGTACCACCAACCCTCTTAATAACCTTGAAGGGTTTTTTTTTTTTTTTTTTTTTTTTTTTTTTTTTTTTTTGTAATAAATAACAAACATTCAATCAGCATGTGGTTGTACCTGTTTACTTGATGTTTTTTCTTATTGTAGCATGCATCAAATTATCCTGGTAGAAGAAAAGGAATCAGTAGTGTCCTCCACCCATTAAAAGCTACAAAATATAAGAGAAGAAATAGGTACTAATTACCTTCTCGTCTATAAGAATTGATGTCCAAACCAAATTAGCTCTCAGTCACATCAACATAATCCCATATCTTACAAACTCTAATTCATTATTCCTATTACTATTCAACTCCGAAAGAAAAAAATACTCCATTCTTATAAATCACGAAAAGCAAGTTAGAGAGTGTTCAACGTTCATTGTAACTCTATATGTACTGCAAAATTACAGTTCCTATAATATGTTCTATTTTTGTTATGATCTTATCTGCCTTCCCTATGTTTTTTATACCTGTTGTTACCTTTATTGACCATGAAATAAGATACTCATTACACATTCTACTCACATATTGTTTTATTATATCAGAGAGCACTATTTATGACAAAACAAGAGAACTGAGTTGCTTGAACTGTTGGTATTAAAATCCCATTGGAGATGATGCTAAAGTTACTGAATCACAGGCTGAGATTAAAGTCCTGTTAACATAAGTTTGAGTACTTCTTTGAAGGGATATTGGCATCCAAGCTGTACTACCCAATCACAGACGATGTGCTAGACGGTTGGAATTCCTCTTAACCTAAACCAAATGTGTCTGTTTCAAGTTTTTCTAGTGAAGAACTTTTCTGCAGAGAGTGTTTTACCCTTATTAGTGGGCCTATCCGGCGTGAATCTGGATGAGTTAGGCATGTTGGCTTCGATATCGGATTGTTAAACCAGAAAAATATGTTATACTCTCCAACTTTTATATTTTTCTATGAGATGTGTAACGCTCTCTTTGTACAAAAAGTTCATCTACTATAAGAAAGCAAGAAGGTCACGGGTTCAAGCCGTGGAAATAGCCTCTTGCAGAAATGCAAGGTAATGCTGTGTACAATAGATCCTTGTGGTCCTATCCTTCCGCGGACCCTGCGCATAGCGGGAGCTTAATGCACCGGGCTGCCCTTTATAAGAAAGCAAGAACCAATCTTATTGAGTTGGAATGAGTCTTTTAGTTGCATGAGTATAGTTTAATATTTAAAATATTTTCGAGCCATTTACTTCTTGAACCATTACCAAGGTTATTCTATGTAATGTAAAATTATTTATTCAAGAGTGCTAATATTTACTAAAGCAATGATGTTAATAAGTTGGCCAGTGTCGATCATAATGTAAGAGAGAGCTTGCCAGAATTGCTGGCAATAGATCATGGTAAAGGTGATAATCAACAAGATCTTCAACAACAAGACTGATACCAGCCCTGTTTTATCTTTTCTTTTCTTTTGGTTTTCAATACAAATCCAACTAAATAGGTGGTGGTTCAGAATTTGATCCCTACCCTTTTATTGAAAGAAAATAGAGCCAAAAGATGCAAAATGAAGGAGGTGGGCATATGCCTAAACCCCTTAAATCAAGCGAAAATTGGACATGTCCGTTGTCCACTCTTTCACATTTTAATCCAATATCATATGTTATAAAATAAGCTCCCGTTACGCGTGAGATCCGCAGAATAGTTTGACCACGTTGGGTTTATTATACATACACACCAGGTTGTTTCCACGACTTGAACATGTGATCTGGTAACACACTAACAACTCTTATAGTTGCACCAATATCATATATTATAGAAAGCTAAATTTTCAAACAAGTTTATCTAGAGATCCAGGCACCATCAACATTAACAAATCAGGAGCAGCCAATTAGTCCATTTTTATTCACGGATTCACTAACAGGAAGTTTGGTATTCGATAGTAGAATCGAAATAAATGATGCATTTAGATCACGCTCCATCAAAATTTCATTGCGCATGAACTAAGACACATCATCAGAAAGGAGAAGAAAAAGAGCAATTCGTCTGCACTTAAATGGATACATAGAATGAGTTGCAGAATTGTATTTGGATAGGCAAAACTACAATGTCTTTAAAGCTTGTTCGCAACATACAAGATCATAAAGGATTTCTTCTTAAAAATAAACTATACGAATCCTCACTAATCATGTCGTTCCATTCAAGCTCATCTCAGACCAATACATTATGAACTGTGACGATTCATAGATTCACCAGTTTTACACTTGATGTTTTATACTTCAAGGGGGGGGGGGGGGGGGGGGGNAACCTTGGCCTTATAAGCAATACATTACCAGATAGGAACACCCTAACATCAACTATACAAGTGATGTTTTATACTTCAATACCACACAAGGGGGGGGGGTGGGAGGTGATTTGTGTGGTGACCAATTTTTCACTTAAACTGATTATGGAAGGACCCGGTTCTTCTAAGTGTTCCTTTACCTACTATTGCAGAAATAGTAAATGCGGAAAGTAAAGAACACGAGTATTTTACGTGGAAAACACCTGGCTCAAAAGGTAAAAAAACCACGACCTACTTTCCAGTAGGATTTTCCCAAACTCTCCACTAAAATCACTGAGCCAAAAACCGCATTTACAAAAACTCTTTTGTAAACCTAGGACTAACTCTAATCCCATTGTAGCACACAGCCTCTAACTGTTGCGACAACATCCAGTTAACTCTAATTTGAATGCTCTGAGTACCTATTACAATTGCCTCTAGATAAAGCTGAAAGGTACAATATAAAAACACCTACTACAATTGAACTAGAAAAAAAAGAAGACACTTGGAACTGGTTCTTCTATCTGGTTCATGTAGCTTCAGGTTTGGACACTTGAATCACACACGAACTGCTTGCAAAATTGCCTTGCTATTTTGCTCTCAATTCACGTTTAACTTCTGCTTATGTGCGTTACCTGTAAAAGAGAACAACATTAATATTTATAGAGTTAGTAAATAGAGATTGACTAGAATTCTGATGCTACTCTTCCTTGGTGGAAGAGTTCTAGTTGATTTCAACCTCTAACTCCTTCCCTTTCTTAAACCGTGTTCTCTTTGAGTAAGGAGTCCTTCTCCTTATTATTTATGCAACCTTTTCGATCAGGATCAGGAGATATCAAATCTGTCAAGTTAGGTTTATCTCCTTCACGTGCATCCCACATGCTTAAGTCTATCCACATCTGTGCTCCACTGAGATGGACCTGGTTCATGTCTGAGTTCCTTTGTCAGTCTTCAAAACTAACCTTTACTTGGGCCAACAAATTCCCCCTTTTTGATGATGACAAACTCTGTGCTTTTCATACTTGGGCTATTAATCTTAGATTTTATTCTTTTAATTAACTTTTACGGCTTATATTTCATCTCCATCTTTGATTTCTACCTTGATTATGAGTAGCTAAACTCATTAGCTAGGGTTGTGACCCAACCCTAGTGTGGGTATTTAATGGGTCTTCAATTTTAGGGCTTAATTGTTTATGGATTAATGATATTCAGCTTGATTCATGCTTTAATTGTTGAATTGGTGGTTGCAAACACTGATTCGTGCCTTTATGACGTAGACTCTTCTTGAGAAAGAGAGACTAAGTCTAGGAAATTCAGGCTAACAAGGAATTGGGGTGCATTCAAGAGATTGATAGCCCCAATTAAAGGGTTAAACCTAGAGATAGTAATACCCGACTTGAGCCAATTTTGCTTGCATTGTTTGAACATCCAATTGGGCTTGAGAAAGTCAATTAGGGCAAAGTCACTCAAACTACCGAGAGGTATAGAGTGAGTAATTATGTGCAAATGTTATATCATGATCCCAAATATAACAATCTTGTCCTAACTTCTAGACCCCATTAGATACTCGCTTAGGTGTAAGTCCCTTCCCTAGTGCTTTTTATCAATTAAGAAAAACCCTACAAAAATATTGTACTTAGATTATTTTCAGCAAGCAGTAGCATTAATAGTAGAATAGAAACAAATCCAAACATGCTGCATCGACCACTCTTGCCATTTTATAGTGGTATAGGGTTGGAGCCGATCATTTTCTTCCACATGTTCTGGCTCAGCTCCACAAATAGCCATATTAACAGTTTCAGAGGTGGGTGAAGAATCAACCACTTCTTTCCCTTTTCCCTTCTCATCACTACGTACACCCTCACTCTCAGTTTCTTTTCCCTTTTTATTTTTACCCCCTCTCTTTCGCGACTCAGTAGTTTCCACATCCACAACAGAACCAACAAAAACAAATCGATTTTCCAGATTTTCAGCCACATCAGAGATTACCTCAGTAGAGGGATTTGGCACAGACGTTACCTGTTCTGAATCAGAAGACCCAGTTCCTTCCCCCTCACTTGCAGACTTGAAAGAATCATCAGAATTTTGGGAATCTTGAACTTGGCTAGCTTTAACTGTGCGTTTAATTTCCTTGAAAGCGCACCTGTAGCCACAGTTTTTCGAGCAAGCATCTTTACTCGCCTTCTCCTAGGTTGAGGGGTGGTGCTGGGTTGAGGAGTAGTGGAGGAATCGCGAGGGGGGGGGGGGGTAGGTGGAGGAGGTGTGCTTGGGGTTATCTTGGGGGGTTTGTCATTCTCTCTAGATTCTGAAAAGGATTGGAGGTTTGAGTTTTGGAAGAGAAGAGAAGAGAAGACAAAAAATTTTGACGGTTTTTGAAAATTATGGGAGAGTGACAGTGGTGATGATGATGAATTTAAAAGAGGAGGGCAATTAATACACAACGACAACTTTTAGTAGTCAAATAGAAGTCTAATCACCCTGAAATTGCAGGTTGAATAGGCGGTTAGGCTTCCCTAGAATCTAGGCATTATAACACGGTGAGGATTCTAGTTGAAATGGAACTGGTTCAAACTTAAAAGGATAGGCTTTTGATGTTTTTGAATGAAGGTAGGACTCTGCTCATGAATTAAATATTAGTATTTCAAATTGTGCAGAGTGTAGAAAACATACCTTGTTATTCAGATAAGCCAGTACTAATGAACCAGGTTCTTCACTGAGAATCTTCTTGATCATGTCTCAATTTTGTTAAAATAGAGAAAATTTTGTTAGAGATCAGTGAGTCATATTAACACATGGCAGAGGAGTATACTATTTACAGTATGAGACTGAGCAAAGATTAATCTAGTTATTTACACAAGTTCCAGATTTTCTAACCAAAAAAATTTCCCTTTTTTTTCATTGTGCATTCTGAACTGGTTCCATTAGGTGATCTTAATCATCCCTAATTCTAACCTGTTCATTTCAAAGTTCTCTCTACTCAGTGCTTTTGTAAAGATGTCAGCAATCTGCTTATCAGTAGCACAAAACTCTACAGTGATCAAGTCTTTCTCATAGTTGTCCCTCAAAAAATGGTGCCTAACATCTATGTGCTTAGTTCTCTTATGATGAATCGGGTTCTTTGTCATACTAATAGCACTAGTGTTATCACAAAAAATAGGGATGCAACCAACATTAATTTCAAAATCCATTAATTGCTGTTTGATCCACAACAATTAAGCACAGCATGAAGCAGCAGCAACATACTCAACTTCAGCAGTAGATAAGGCCACTGAATTTTGCTTTTTAGTAGCCCATGACACAAGACATGAACCAAGAAAGTGTGCCATACTTGAGGTGCTCTTCCTGTCTACAAGGAAACCTGCATAGTCAGCGTCAGCATATCCCACTAGGTTAAAGTTACTACCTTTTGGATACCAAAACCAAAGGTCAGTGGTGCCTTTCAAGTATCTCAATATTCTCTTGATAGCAGTCAAGTGGGATGCTTTTGGATTTGCTTGAAATCGAGAACAATGTCAGGTCTGCTAGCAGTAAGATACAAAAGTGAACCAATCATACCCTTATACAACTTCTGATCAACAGATGAACCAGGTTCATCTATGTCCAATTTTGTGGCTGTTGCTATAGGAGTATCTATTTCCTTTGATTCTTCCATTTTAAACTTCTTAAGCAACTCTTTTACATATTTCTGCTGATTGATCATAGTTCCATTTGAGTCTTG